TCGGAGATCTCTGTCCAGAAGAGCGCAGTCCTGGGAACAGCTAAGATACTGCGCAGGACCCTCAAGCTCCCAGGCCTCTGGTAGAGGACCCGAGCTTGAAGGATAAACCGCCCGCAGGGGCGTGCTGGGTGTTATAGATAGATAGATAGATAGATAGATAGATAGATAGATAGATAGATAGATAGATAGATAGATAGATAGATAGATAGATATAGATCTATAGATCGATAGATATACACTAGTGCTGTCAAAATTAACCCGTTAACGCAAATTAATTAATCAATCCATCATTGCGATTACATTATTTTATGCAATTAACGCATCTGGAGTGCAGAATGACTCAAAATCTGCCAATGCATTTCGGGCAGTTTGTCCAAGTAGAGTTGCCGTTGCACATGCACAAATGGGCAGTTGATCTGGTAGTGACAGGCAGCTGAACCAATCAAATCAACATGGAAGATGATAAACGCACATTGGCCCTCTCAATGGGAAATTTGAGTATTAAAAAAATAACAAGACGGAACAGTCGACCGACATAAAGTGTTATGCACATTGTGCAAGAAGGAATTTTCTTTTCACCGAAGCACTTCCAGCTTAAAATATCACATTGACACGAAGCATACGTTAGTCGGGGATGCTGCTAGCACTTTGGCTAACACGTCACCCAGCTTGCCACAAACTCACAGAGCATCAGGGACTCAGTGAGACTACCTCGGACATATCGACTGACACAATTACCAAGTGGATTGCAACAAACTGCAGACCTATTAATATGGTTGAGAACACGCGCTTTACATAGCTATGGTTCCTCGTTTCAAGGACTTTACGTGCCTCACCAAGTGTGACAGAGTGATTGGATACATGTTTACAGAGTTTTTTTGTTAACATGAATGTTCAAGATGTTCAATAAACATGTTAAGTGTGTATATTTTCCCTTTTTTCTCGAGTCAGTTTGCTCTTGCAAAGTAAAATGCTATTAATAAAGAATAAAAATAAATAATATTTAATCATGATTAATTAAAATTAATCCACGGTAACCATGTGATGAATCTGATTAAACATTTTAATTGCTTGACAGCACTAATATATATTATATATATTAGTATATACTATTAGTATATAGGTTTTTAAAAAAGTTGTATATAACAGGAGAGGACCTGTGCTAAGATTGAAGAAAGCTATTCAAATTCTCTTTGAATTTAAGCATACATTCTTTGTGTTTATTCTGCATTTATTTCATTGCATTGCATAAATGTCAGTTACAAGCTTAAATATAAAGTTAAAAAAATGTAATTGCAACCAGGCTATTGATCAAGTAATTGCAATTAATCGCAATTACTTACAGAAAATTGTGAGATTATTTTTTTAATCTATTGACAGCACTAATATGTACATAAACACTAAGCATTTAGTCAAAGAATAAGTTCAGTAAAGCTGCTTAAACTACTTCAGTCACTGTGGCTCCCGAGCACAATAATAAACAGCAGAATCTTCAGTTTTCAGACTGTTCATCTGCAGATACAGCTGCTGTCTGTTGTTGTCTCTGGAGATGGTGAACCGGTCTTGAACTGACTGCGAGTAGTATTGTCTAGTACCATCAGGGCTACTGAAACCAATCCACTCCAGTTCTTTTCCAGGAGCCTCTCTCATCCAGGCCATCCAGTAGCCACTGAATGTGACTCCAGAGGCTGTATATGTCAATCTGTGAGATTCTCCAGGCCTTTTAATTATTGGTTCAGAGTCTGCTGGAGCCTGGCCATCAGCACCTGTTAATACAAGCAAGATAACATCATATGAAATATGTCAGTAACACAAAGATAAATGCTATTAAATCAAGATCCGTAAGACTCCTCACCTGCCCAGCACATAGTTAAAAGCAGCAGCCCTGTCCTGCAGTCCATCCTGTTCAACTGTAAACTCGGTGTCCAAGCAGTCACATAAGTAGAGGTGAGATGGAAATGTTTTACACTGACTCCTCCTATTGAAAAGAAAAATACTGTTTCTGTGTCTCTGTTTGTTTTTAATTATTATGTTGTGGAAATATACATTTGTTTATACACTGACAAAACAGAGACCTGTAAAACATCAACTGCTGCTTTTAATGTGTGTCTGAGTGTGTGTGATGGTGATTGTGTGTATTAATAATATAATACTACTTGATTATTTGTGTTAAACGATGTGTCACTTAAATGTGTTGATGGTTTATCTTCAGCGGGCATTTATGTAACTATAAACCCTGTGTAAACAACTTTATCACAGAAGAAAAAAATAACAATAAACAAATATTAAACATCCCTGCAAAAAATAATGTATTAGATCGTTTTACTTCATTAACCAGTTTTAAAGGATGAAGATTATGTGTTAAATATTTTAACTTAAGAAATGGGTGTAGGGTGCGGCTATTGCAGTGTGGACTGTGCATTAGATGGATGGCCATGAGAAACACGACACAAAGTCAACTGTTGCAGTCCCACCTTTAGGTCAATGCAAAATACATTTTCTGTGGAGTTTGTGTACAGCCAGGCAAATTACTTTGATTACTATGTGTATCTGGTACAGTAATACACCTCAGAGTCCTCTGACTTTAGGTTTGATTGTCACAGATACACCAGGCTGTTGCTGTTATCTCTGGTGATTTCTGTTCGTCCTCTGTGCCTATTCTGCTAGAACAGGCACTTCCACTGGCGTCATTATAAATACGCCCCCAACTATTCCAGTGCTTTTGCTGAATGGTGTCTGATCCAGTGCATGTTGCAGCAACTAAATGTTAATCCAGATCATATACAGGAGTGATTCAAAGTCTCTTCAGCATCTCCAGCATCTGACCTGTAATACCGGATGACATTAAAGGAGAGACGGGCCATGGAAGAATGATATGGTCAGCAAGGATGTCGTCTGGAATTACTTGAACAACTCTTGAGGATAAAAACACAACAAGAAGCTGCAGAACTCACAGGACAGACAGAAAACAACCAGAAAAGTGAGTTCATTCATCATCCAGAGGCTGGAGATGAGGCCTCTGATGTTTCAAACAAAGTGCAAGTCACCAAAACAGTAGTAAACTACAAAGACATCATAAAGAGGGTGCGGTACAAGTACCCCAACAATGTCTACCACTGAGAAGTTTATTTTCATGTTAAAAATCAGGTCATTGTAAAATACTGCATTTTTCATTGTCATTTTGAAAGCTATTACTTGGGGAAAAAAATAATATGTTAATGTTTATTAAACAGTTCTACATTAAAACATTTTCAATTAAGTCATTTAACTATCCAAAATTGCCTTTCCTGTTATTTTTTTTTCCTGACAGTCCATGAAAGTACATGCTTGATTAATGTATGAAGAAATGCACCCCAGTTGACTGGAAAATTGCACCTGGCATGAATTGTGATATCCTAAAAAAGGGGGTGACAAAAGAAAAGAAAAACACCATTAAACTGTTGAAACACGACGAAAACAGACATCTGCAATTAAAATATCTACAATCTAAAATATCTAATTATCATTTTTTGGTGTGTTTATTTTTTTGTGTTTGGTTATTTTTTTTCCTGTGTCAGTGGATACGTTTCATCTGTGCGTGTCTGTTGATGGTTGGTAACAGTGCCACATACACAGTAATAGACAGTGTCTTCAGGATGCAGTTTCACCACTGTTAATGTCAATATATTATTGGAATGTGTTAGTAACTTTTTTATTCACTGAACAAAGAAACAGTGAATCAGTAAAACTCAGGTTAACAATAAATTTCAAATCAATGAAGTGTTGATAATATTTATTATATGAGAACATGGCTTTTAAATACAGCTTTAGCAGAACTCATGCTGTGGCCCAAAATGTTTTAAAGCCATTTACTAGTTTTTTTAAACGCTAAATTTAATGGCCATTTAATTCTAAATAAAAGTAAATTATCAGTACGTAAACAAATCAGATATATCTTTAAAAGAATCATCAGACTGCGAAACAAAATTGCTTTGCATAGAAAACACTGACTGATTAGAAACACCGGTATGTGGAGATAGAACACACAAAAACCATGAACATTTATTGTGGCTATTTTTTTCTGAATGTGTATATGATAATGAAGTAAAGAAAAGAATAGTTTTGGTTTGACCTGGGGTGTTAAGTTTTTGTACAGAGTTTCGTTCTCTTGTGTCACTGTGGCTTTCGAGCACAATAATAAACAGCTGAGTCCTCAGTCGTCAAGCTGCTCATCTGCAGATACACCTGCTTTCTGCTGTTGTCTCTGGTGATGGTGAAGCGGCCTCTGACTGACTGAGAGTAGTGGATATAGCTACTGCCACTGCTGCGATAGGCGATCCATTCCAGTCCTTTTCCAGCAGCTTGTCTGATCCAAGCAGCATCAATATCACTGCTGAACCCTGAGTATGTACACGTCAGTGTGTGGGAGTCTCCAGGCCTTTTAACCACTGATTCAGACTCAGTCAGTGTTTGACCCTCAGTACCTACAGAAATATTAACTTATTGTTGTGATCACATTTTCATTAGAATAATGTTTGTTTGTCAAACAGATTTATGTATCCTTACCAGCCAAGGTAGAAAACAAAATGAGAGAAACAACTAAACAGTTTGGTCTGATCATTGCAAAAGTCATTGTTGTTGTCCACTCTGCAGTCTGTGACTTTTACTCTGCAGATGAACATTTGAAGGCATTGGCCATATAAGTTTTGCATTGGCTCCTCCTACTCAACAAAAAACAAAAAACTCTTTTTCACAAAGTGAGAAGCAAAAGCTGGAAAATGTATAAATGACATTTGTCAGTAATATAACCATGTACTATAAATAATTGCGATGCAGTATTTTCTAATGATTCAAATGAACAATTATTAAGACAGTGTGACTGAATTTCTGTCTGCTGTCTATGAAGATGAGAGTAATATTCATTTCAATCAGAGTAGCACTGCACTATAGGAGCATGTCTGATTCAAGGGTTCCAGTAATGACTGTCAAACTCTCACTTTATACCCATCAGTCTCTGGGATTCTTCAGGCGTTTTGACCACTGATTCACACTCAGTTAAGATTTAACAGTACCTACAAACAAATATTTAATTATTAGAGGAAATTAATTAGGGAAAAGTTAACCTTGCATCAGTTCCTCCATCTGTTAGAGGACCACACCTTAGCTCATGCAAAATAGTCAGTAGCACTCATGATTTTCATCATGTTGCATTTTTTGTAGAAATTCATGAACTGCAGCATGTCTGCGTATGTGTTCATCTTTTTCTTCTACTGTAATCTTTTGCTATTATTTGTGAACACTGGAATATGTGCTCTTACACTGCTAATATTAAGCAGCACACACTTTTGTTTGTTAATTTCATAAAATGGAAGAATATAGAATAAGAGGCTTTGAAGCATGCACACTTTTTTATTTTAATGACATCTATGGAGCTTTATAAACTCAAACTTCATTGAAGTTAAAACAACTAATCTTATCTTAAGTTCTAATTTGAAGACATTTCATTACAAACTTGCATTATAGTTGTTTATGTTATGTCTTTATGTTGGGCACAAGCTAGTTTGATTAATCTTAGGCATAGCAAGTTAAGTTATGGGTTTAGCATATATTATTAGTGTAATTTTCATATTTTCTTTGTTTTTGTTTTTCAAGTTTTCATTGTTATAGAAAGTATACAAGCCTTTCTTATTTAACCACTCCAAAACCATAAATAGTCTAAGGGCTCCTCTGGTGGCTTCATGTTACAGCTATTCAGACATTGAAGAGTTTTTGTTCAGGCCTGCTGATGGTTTCTGCTAGTGTGACTCTCTGGCACAGTAATACACAGCAGTGTTTTCAGCCTGCACATTCTGTCCACTTAAAGTCACTGTCTTGGTGGAAGAGTCAGTGCTAATATTGAAGTTATTCTTTAGTGAATCTTTGTAGTATGTGGTATATTGATTGATTGATCATACTTTATTCATCCCGAGGGAAATTGGGTTAAGGCTGCCAGCCGTGCCAGCGCCATCTTACCCTTC